TTCCTTTGCAATCGACTACCCGCCCAAACAATGGATGCAATGTTCAGTTCCCTGGCCAATGTGACTCATTCACATGATTTATCCAATTGCTGTTTTGAACTGTCACTGTCCTTCCTTGTATTCTTATGTTAGTGGTAGTGCTGCCTGTACCCCTTTGTACCTCAGAACTGGCTTTATGTTTGTGGTGTCATTAAATGCCTTTGTTCTGCAGATCACTTGGTTGATCATTCTGTGGTATAGAATTATGAACTGTCCCCCAGCAGCGGACATGCTTGTTGTACATACAGATAATTATTTGACAGCAACCATCTCTCACATGATCAATACAGTAATAATATAACATCATACCTGTGGAGTGGAGAAATGTACTGTGTTATTGCAACCCTTTAGGAATTACATGAGATCAGATCTGCACATCTGTTGTACATCATGAGCTGGTAGGAAGGGAGGAGGGAGGTTGTGTATTATAACTTCTATGGTTTGAAGAAGAAGGAGAGGTCAATGTTGTGGTCACAGGGATGGACTTAAACCCATATATAGTCACATTGTTCATGCAAGAGGGACTCAAGATGTGGGGAATAAAAAGGATGATGACGAAAGGAAAAACCCTGAGAAAAAAACACAATATTGTGCAGTATGATTTGGTTTTGTGTTACATACACTTTGAAATATAAAGGGATTTGACAATACACAGTCAAGGGACCGTATGAGGAACTTGTCATTTCTCCATTATAGTTTGGTTTTGTTAAGAAGGCATTGAGCTTGAACTGCATGGAGTAAGAGGTGAATGAGAATGAAACATACAGTAAGAGAGGAGAGAACTGGGGGCTGAAAAGATATAACTTATGGTAATTAAATCAGTTAACTAGCCACAATGAGCACTGCACATTTTTGAAGCATGAATTACATTTAAACCCTAACCAAATTAGACTACTTCTTTTGTACCAAGATGTGAACTATATAAATGTCACAAATCACCCGATACTTGTTGATTAGCCTGTTCTCATTCTTTGGAAGGTTCACATTTTAAGGTCCTATATTTGGCCTATCTAATCTCCTGAATGTGCTCCTGGCACCTACAACAGTTGTTTGAATGAAGTGGCATTCAAACAGTCACTCATCCAAAAACCAGTAAGGATGGCTAAATTAATACATTTTAAGTTGTTTTGAAAGTCTATTGTAAAAATTATTTTTCATATGCTAATTGTTTTTGTGTCTGATTATTATTATTACCATGTTCACCATGGGAGTAAGATCATGCAAACTGAATTCCTGGCGTCATTCATTTGAAAAATAATGATTCCAGTCATGTATTAGAATCAACAGCAATGCATGCTAACAATGCTCCATTTGTGCTGAGACTAAATGTGTAGCAGCAAGGACTCCCCACACAGTTACACCATCATCCGCTTGTGCAACTGACATGATAAATGCATTTTTGCCTTGCATTATGGCCCTAACACTTATTGATTACAGCATTTCAATGATTAACAGCCCATTGTACCCCTCTGTTTTTTTTATACAGCATAGATATTTGCTGCAGTAGTTTCAAAGTTTGATTGATTTTGGTGCACTTAAATCTTTGTGCGTACATTACTGTTCTGCTGTGCTGGCATTTAAATCACTTTGGTGGGCCTGTTAGCTTCAATGTGATTTTGATGTCTCTCTTCAAAAAAGGCTAATGGTTAATGTGTACATACAATTAACAGTAACCCATGAAAGGCAGTAATTTACAGAGGTGCAGCTGCAGTTTTGCATTCTCAGTCAGAACTGAAGACTATTAGTATCAGTTTTGCAATATGGCTCTGCAAGAAAATAACATCATAGACAAGGCTTTTCTGTAAGAATTGGTAGGAGGAGGATAACGGAGAAACTGTTGAGCAGAGATGGAAGATGTTTATCGAATCCCAACAACCTTAGGCACAATAATTCCCACTATTGTGTTTCAGTGAGAAGTGGAGGGAGATGAGGGGACAAAAGAGACCAGACAAAGGGGAAGAAAGAAAGAGAGGGAAGACAGTCAGGGACTAGGTTGAATGAAGGAGGAGATGGGGAGGTGTAGGACAAAGAGTGAGTCAACAAGAACTGAAAGGCAAAAGAAACAATAGGAAGAGATAATAACAGTCACCAGAGGGCAAACATATGATGATCAGATCATTCATCCTTATTGATTTAACTGGTTGTCTGTTGAGTTCAGATGACAAATGAATGGAACTTGAAAATTACTGTATTACTGTGATGCATGCTGCATGAACATATACAAATACACAAAAAGGAAAATGACAAAAACTGTTGTATACACATTGTAAACTGCACACATGCATACTTGTACTTCTGTCTTTGTGAGGACATTCACTGACATAATGCATTCCCCCTAATACCTAACCTTAACCACCAGAACTAAATACCTAAACCTAAGACCTAAACCTAACCCTGACCTGAAACATAAAACAAAGACCCAACCCTCAAAAAGGTGTTTCAGAAAGTTAGGACTGGCTAAAATGTCCTCATTTCCCAGAATGCCCTCACTCTATAGCAAAAAAATAATTTGTGGCCCACACTAAGTAGCAAGTGCAAGAACACACACACAAACACACTATCTACCAGGATAAACTGGAAACATATGATGTTTGCTAATATACTGCAGATTTTCAATGACCATGTATATGAATAAATCTGTAAATGAGCTTCAGGAAACCTCTATATCTATCTAGCTATGTTCTCTCTCTCTCTCTTTTATTTTATATATGTATATATAATTATTGCCTGAATTATTGCCTGCAGCAGTGTTGACTTTCATATTTGAAATATCTGAGCATTACCTAAACTGTGTATTACTTGATTAGAACAGGTCAGAAGCCTCATAATTCTCTACACTAATAAAGACGAGATTTGACACCATGCCTCGTGTCATGTTGAGTATATCATCTTAACACATTTAAGCAATTACACACACATATCATCTCATGCACGCTAACACACACATACACACACACAGGCACACACTGGCTTTTGAATATGTGGAAACACAGAGAGACAGAGCAGCTGCACATCTGTCTCAGTGAGCCTTTATATTTGGTAGTGATAGATACAGTAAAGTCTT